CCCCCCCCTCCCCCCCCCCCATAGTTTCCTGCCACTGTAAATCCTTTTCTGAGAGTCTAACTGGACTTATTAACACACTCTCAGAACAGGACTCATTAGTATGTATGAGACTTACTGTACTGTATTTTTCAAAATAGCTAGGAGAAAAGATTTAAAATGCTTCCAACACACAAAAAATAAATGTTTGAGGTGATAGATATCCTAATACCCTGATTTGATAGTTACACATGCTATGAATGTATCAAAATCTAGATGCATCCCATAAGTGGGTAAAAATGTTACATGTCTAGAAAAAATAGACATATAACATATTAAAATGAGATAATCCATTTCAAAACTGTGAATTTGGAAGTATGAAATTATTTTACTGATAATGCTAATGATTCAAATCAGTTATTGCTTTTCATAACCAAGGCCATGGAGCATAAGAGAAAAATGACATCATGAGGATGTGTTGGTGGGAAGCTTATTACAGTCAATTTCAACTCCAAAATATACCTCCGTGTGGAAACATAGAACTTTTCCCTGCCTATTTTCAATTGATAAGCAATGCTCTATTGAAATGTAGTGGAAAATATTCTGTAAGCTAGTAGGTATTTCTAGACTACTCAAGATGTAAGTACTAAATATAGTAAAAGAAAAAAGCAATAATGCTTGACACATTGCTTTATTTTGGGAGTACATGTTCAAAATATCAGTACTAATAACCTACTTTTGTATTGACCCTATTCTTTAGAGCTAACAATTTTAGACCACAGGACACAAGTGTGGTTGCACTCTGGTGTGTGTATATATATATATACATATATATATATATATATACACACACACACACACGTGCGCATGTGCTTGTGTGTGTGTGTGTGTGTGTGTGTTCTTTCCTCTTATTTCCCTGACCTGTTTTATTTTTCTCATGGCCTTTCCCACAGCCATCTCCTCTACTGGAATATTGGCTCCACGAAACTAGGTGCATTGCCTTATTCACTGCTATGTCTCTAGGGCTCAGAATGACCCAGGGGATACTGTCAGAGCCCAGTCAGTGATTGTTGGATGGATAAAAAATAGTTAAACGATGAGTGCCCTCTCCCTTGTCCCAAATGATTCAACAATGGAAAAAAACATGGTACCCACATTTAAAATTCATGGTACAGTGCAACACACACATACAGAAAAATAATGGTGGAAAACACATAATTTTGGTGTAAAGATGTTGTTATTAAAATATGGGGGGAAAGCTCTGCTTAGGGAAGAGGGGAAAGACTGCGTGTGAGACACAATGTCTGGCCTTCCTGGTAGGAGTTTTGCCTGGTGAGGAAGAAAAGATATTTGAGTGAAAGGAAAACCTAATATTCAAAGGAACGAATTGTCCAAGTTTTCATCTTTTGAAGTGAATATCTGTGGAATTATGTAAAAGAGCATAAAGAAGTAGAAACATAGCAGGAGTGGGGGAGGAAGCTTGGGGGTATGCAGTGTACATAGTTAATGACCAATATCAGACATCATATGGAGGTATAGGGGCAATGCACAGCTTTATCTAAACATATTGGAATACAGGTTTTCTGTCTTTACACTGTTACTACTAATAACTGCAGGAAAACTAAATAGAAAACACAATCAGGAAATGCTGCTTTAATAAAACCATTTAAGAAGCAGAAATAAATTGTACTAACAGGAAAGAAGACAGATATAAAAGCATCTGAATGTCATTTTTGAACTACAACAGAAAAGTCCCTAGAAGGGTAAATGCTTCTAAGTTGCTACTTATTTGGATACTTAAAAAAAATACACTCATTGTATCCATGTCACTGGAAATTGCTTGCAGTTCAGTTTCAAGGCAAAATCCTTCCAAATAAGATTATTCCTTAAACATATCTAATGAACTTGCTTACTTTAAAGTTGTCTTTGCAATGGAAGATGTACTGGGTTTTTTTTTTTTTTTTAATTTTATTTTACAAAGACTATCTGCACTTGTCTGTGTGTGGTTATCTAGATGAATTGATTTTTTCTGCAATTTCTTCAGTATTATTTTCTATTGAATATATGTAAATGAATTGCTCTAAATATTCACAGACTGTTACCACCTTAGTTTTAACACCTCAAAATATTTTTAAACTGTCCTCAAAGAGTTTTGAAGACCCAGAAAAGAGTGTTGTGTTGTTATTTGTTTGCTTATTTGTGTAAGGAGTTAATAAAAGGGAGTATTCTAGTGTTCTGACTTTTGATTATTTCTATAGTCTAAATGTGTTGCCTAAAACGCATGTGTTGAAAACTTGATCCCCAGTGTGGGAGATACCAGTTGGGAGGTGGGGACCCTGGGGAGGTGTTTAGATGATGAGAGCTCCACCCTCATGAAAGGATTAATGCCTCTATAAGGAGCTTCTGCTCTTCTGCCATGTGGGAAGACAGCAAGAAGACTCCCTCCAGATGCCAATGCCTTAATCTTGGACTTCCCAGCCTCCAGAACTGTGAGTAAGGCATTTTTTGTCATTGATAAATTACCCAGTTCCAGGTATTCAGTTACAGTAGCACAGACTGGGACTAGTAATCAAATGACTTCTTGTCAGCCCTGTGCTGAGAACACTAAATAAAAAACAGATGGGGTAAAACAAATCAAATTTGCATAGACTCATAAGAATTGTCTACAGAAGACAGCCACAGACTTGCATCAATGCCATTTTTTTGTTATCAATGCCATTTTTGGGGGACTGTTCTATTTAAATTCATTTGGATCATGATGAAAGTTAAAGTGGAAGGAAATAATATTCTCATTATGATACTAATTGAAATACACCAGGGGAGAATGCATAGAGAGAGGGATTTAGGTATTAGTGTTCGGGAGATTTAAGTCTTTGATATCTAAAGTGACCAGTTTCATGATTACGCTGAGTACAGCAAATTTCCAAGATATCTAGTAGTCTGAGCCAGTCCTGAAACTCCACTTAGGAATGAAATATAAAGACAAAAATCAACAAAGTCAGAATTAGATAAAAGGCAACTGAACAGAACTAGAGGGAGAATAAATAAGTTCAGAGCACCTTAAAATCCCTGAAAAATAATTTTATTCAAGATAATATTTCATTTTATACAAAGTTAATGATCATGTAGCAGTTAATAAGTAATTATTAAGATCCTATTACAGTTTACTCTTAAACAACATAGCTTTTAACTGCTCAGGTACACTTATACACAGATTTTTTTCTTTTCTTTTCTTTCCTTTTCTTTCCTTTTTTTTTTTTTTTTGAGTTGGAGTCTCACTCTGTTGCCCAGACTGGAGTGCAGTGGCTCCTGGCCACCACAACCTTGACCTGCTGGGCTCCGGCGATCCTTCCGCCTCAGCCTTCCAAGTAGCTGGAACTACAGGTGTGCGCTACCACGCCCAACTAATTTTTTGATTTATTGTAAAGATGAGGTCTTGCCAAGATGTCT